TCCATACATGATCTACGACTGTGTTAATGTTTCATTAGCTTGCAATTTACGTTGGATTTTGAGAAGTGGTTCAACTCTCCCATCTGGGCAAGTCTCCCGGACTCCCCCTATGTTTATTTTTTATGACAAGTATGTTCATCAATTTCTTTTTGAATTTTGAATCAATTTCTATCAGAGTAGCTGTTTCCTCTCGACTTTTATCAAATTTTATCTTATATCCAACGCGTATTATGTAGCTTCCCATTGATGAAAGGCTTATAAATCAATCCAATAGTTTCGGAGCTTATCCAATGCAAACAAACAAATAATCAAATCTTTCCTCTTTATAATACGAGTATAGAATTATTGGAATAAATTATGTCGAACAAATAAACAAAATCCCTTTTTCTATTCTAAGACTTTCACTATGTTGAATATTTTTATTTATATACATTTTTAGTGTTACTTTACGAACCGATAACCGATGGGATAAACGAGTTCTAGAGTGGAGACCGCGAATCGGCAAGCATAGTGTAGGAAGATCTCCAACAAAGTGGAGCGTGGGTGGAGGTAGATGATTTGAGAAGGTCGCTGATAGGAAGTAGATGAGAATAACTCAAAACCGAAAAAAATTGAGCTTATTGGGGGAAGCCTATGTCCAGCAGTAGATTGCTGTGGGCTGATGATGATCAAGTCGCGGGAAAACAGCTAGTAGTGGAATTAAACAACCCCGGTATAATTTTTATACAACAACATATACATGCCCAGTTCTCCAATAGCTAAAGTCCTTGTATGTTAATTTTAAAGTGACAACATTCGCCCTAACGAAAGAAGAAGAAACGACGAATTTCTATTTCAACTGTACTCGAAACCATGAAGGTCGTCAATAATAAAAGATGCTATTTCACTGATACCCGAGCCGGAGCGGGGAGGTATTATGATAAATAGAATTATTTTGATTTGAGTCAAAAATTTACTCCCCACCAGTATGAAAGTTTTAATGGAGTTTTCTCATTTCTGGACTTAAAACTAGACTACGCGGGCGAATTCGCGGGCAAAAGTTAGTATTATTATAAAATAATATTCATTGACAAAATCAATAAAACGTTTTATGGTTATAGCTAGAATTATAGCGAGAGTTAAGCGCTCTGCAGGTGTACCCTGTTGGATCAAATCCTATCTCGATAGGATTCGAACCCGAGATCAAAGAGGACTGAATTTCTCAAGAACTTGTTACTTCCGCTTCAAGTGAGCGCAATGTTCTAGCCAGTCTACCCGAATAGCCGAAATGAATATTTTTAAGTTTGGATAAAGATTTAATAAATATTACGGTCATGTGGATTCGGGAGTTTTGGAGACCTGCGATTATTTATTATATTAGTTATTTTCAGTACAAAAATTGCTCATCTAAGGCCCACGAAATAAAATGTGTCCTACAAGTGTAAATACAAGTTTCTGTTATATGTTCGGAAAATATGAACGATCTTCACTTATAAACATTGAACATAATAAATTTTATAGCACTAATTTGTAAATTATTAAAACTTGAAAAATATATTACATAAATTTGCTAAAATACATATGGGTTTATCTAATTTAAACCCATATTTATTTTAGCATAAAACTTTCATTACTTTCAGTACAACAACTACAAACATAAACGCACAAATATCAAACATATTACATAGATTGTCCAGATAGACGCCCAAATGTTTTTCGCTACCGTAGCACGGCGTGACATTATTTCGTGACTTGAATTTGTGGAGAGCATTTTCGGCCGACAAGCAACAGTTTCGCAAAAATAGAGCCATCTCTAAAACTACGAATACTAAAAGCAGACATGATGATATTTCTACATTATTTCTCAGATATTAACGGACTGTGTATTTATTATATTTTATCAATTTTATACTGAAAAATACTTTTAATAAAAAATGCTTAAAAAATCCACTTGTACGCGTAGCATGACGAACTCGAGATCGTTTTGTCTACACTCAAATGTCACTTTTCTCGGGTGCGCCCATACGATATCTCACTCTCGACCCGAGAAACTGACAAATGAGTGTAGACAAAACGTTCTCGAGTTCGTCACGTCATGCTACGCGTACTGGCACCCTGAGATGGGATTCGAACCCATGACCTTTGGCAATCCGGGCGATATTTTTCAGTATATCATCGTGAATGCGAAATTGATTGACAAATATAATAATTAGAACAAATTTTCATCTTTATCGAAAGTATATTTAAAAAAAAAAATTATTCGGCTGTTTGGGTGGATTGCCTGAACATTGATGAGAATACGCTCTGTAGTAGCGAAAAAGTAATTTGTAAAACTTGTTAAAGTGCTTGAAAGATTCGTCAGTCCTGTAAGGTCCTGGGTTGCTCAGTGGTTAGAGCAGTCGTCCCAATTGCGAAAGGTCATGGCTTCGAATACCACCTCAGAGTGCCAGGGACCAAATGAATTTTTAAGTATTCATTAGGACTACTTATTTCCAAAATAAAAAAAATACTAGCCAACAAGCCTACCTAGCCTACTTCAGGTATATGCCTCTTATTGCATAATAAGATATATGTTACAATGACGATATCATGATAATGAAGGCGGCTTCAACTGACTATGAGTTGTTGGTCGATCGGGAGACTGCTCTACTGATCCTCAATTAGTGGATGCGATTAAAACCACTGCACTCCAAATTAGCCTCTTTGTGTAACGAAAAGAGATGATACCTACGTAATCTTTACTATGAATCTCATAAGAAAATTGTCATAATATACTTATTATTACCATTTTAATCTTTACTTATTTTACCCGCCTATAACAGATATAAAAATCTTTCCATCAATCATAAATATGTGACTTTTAATGCACAAGCTTATAGTCAATATGTATTAACAAACGTTTTTATAAATAAGTCAGTAACAGCCAAAACCTTTATAAAATACCTACAGAGCTAACGTGAGATATAAGGTTTGTTCATAGGACAAAAGTGTTAGTTGGGACTAGGGTTACCAGGGGTTTAAATCGAAAAGCCGGTTGCATGCAAGTGTTTGTGCAAAAAAATCCTAATTTCTGTAAAAAATCCGGTCTTTGGCCGAAAATAAAAGTCACTAGATTCAGAAAATAAAAGTCACTTAATAAAGGTTGGGGGCCGCCCCTCCCGCACCTCTTCATGTCAAGACGTGCATACTCATCATAATATGGTTGTTTTAATTTGGCGTTCGCTGCGCATCGTACCGGGTGGCGCTTATTATTTATTGACATGACTAAAAATCCGGTCTCGAATGAAATCCGGGCGGAATCCGGCCTATTTCCTCAAAATCCGGTCTGGACCGGATTTATCCGGTCAGCTGGTAACCCTAATTGGGACGCCACTGTTTCCAACACATTTCTATCCTGTACCTACATATTATCGCATTAATAGTCTTTGCGTAATATGTCGAATTAATTTTCTATCACATCCAATGTGAAATTCGCACAATTTCATTTCAATATGCACGCCGCACTCGCTCAACTCCATAAATAATGGAGCACAACACCACGTGCAGAAATTAAACGTTCTTCCACTACAAACGATCGATTAAATTACCGATATGATAACCAATATAATAATTGCAGCTTATGCAACAGCACCTTTTCGAGCGCTTGCCGATTTTCTTGAGTATACCAAATAAAACGCGCTCTAGTCTTGGAGTGATGAAAAGTTAATGAGAGATTTACTACGTTAATATTTAAGTACATCTAAAAACAAATAAAACATGAAAATAACAAACCTTTAATAAGATGTCGCCACAGTAAGTTCTTGATTTCTCCATTACAACCCTTCCAGTTTTCTTTCATGTTTAAAAGTAAATTAGTTTTCAAAACTTAATAAAAAACTCATATTCTATTTGTACTTTTTCGTATTAGTATTGATATCTAAGTTTCGAACTATTCAAATTTCAGTTTTTTAATGTTAGTTAAAAGGAACGGAAATTACTGTCCTTGGTCCATTCGTTTCCTGCAAAAATCAACTTTTGCTGGAGTCGCCATCTAGTGGAAGTGCTTTTTAGTGCTTTCGTTTTTTTAAATACTTCCTACATTACACATATGACTTATATGTTTCAGCATTTTACTTCTGAAAACTTTATAGTTATTTATCTAATCTGAAATACAAATGGAAAGAAAAACACAAATCTGAAGTTAGCGGAACACTTCATCGAAACTCAAAACTATGCAAAATTATTTGAACCGAACGATAGCGCTATATACACACTATACGCCATCTAGTACAGCAAAGTTTAAAATTCTTATTAATTTATTTCGTTTGAAAAAACAGACGATGTAGAATAAAGTTAACGCTATCTAGTATAATATAATTATTAAAAGTTGTTTTCTGTCGTATAAAAAATGATTCGTACTTGAATATTTTCAAACATTAAAGCTAAAATGTAATCTTTATTGTTAATTATATGTACTCAAATACCAATGTTCTTCGTTATTTATGGAAATCTATAAATAATAACAGATAATTAGGATTCCCACAATCCCACGAATTCATTTTGAAAAAATGATGTCAAGGGTATATTCATGATTGGTTTTATAATAAAAATGATTTTTCCGTACTTATTTCAAATTCATGTGACTTAAATCTCTTTTGCTAAATGTTATGTATGTGTTATCAGAATACATCAAAATCTCCGAAACCAACTTTTGTGGGTCAACGCATTATTTCTCATCGGTATCCAATTTTTTCTTTTCTTATTAAACAACATCAAGTACATCGCTCAGATTCCAAGATGAGTAGCTAAAGCCCCCGTATTATGGAGTATCTGAGACAACAAAGTAACATAACACCCGGACCAGAGACAATATACATTTTCTAAATTTTTATGTTTGGGTTTGTAACATGTAACCTCTCTCTATACAAGAGAAAATGCACAGACTCAAGAGCTTCGATATAAGCTGTGTTCAGCTATACTTAAACCACATAATTCATATGCATTGTGGTTGCAACCTTAGAGCTAATTAAATGTATATTGTACCTATACAGTTAGGAAGTTGTTAGTTAAAATTAAAACAAAGCAATAATGTTTCATGTTTAATCTATTAGATAAATGTGTCATGAAAACATCTAAAGGATCTTCTTCTGTACTATAATCAGTTTGTTTTTTGGTATATTCATCAACAAGTATCATATGTTGCTCTAAATTTTCCACTTCATTACTTTCTGAATCAAAATATTTATCCTCTTCATCTTGAGAAAATTGTTTTAAATCATCATACTGTTCATCATTATCGATACCTTCATAATCAACATCATCTCTTCCTTCAATGAAACTGCTGTACATTTCTTGAAGAAATTCTTCACGAAACAACCGTCGCTCAGGTGCACTAATAGTGCATTGTTTTCTGACTTCGGGCTTATGGTCAGGTCTTGTATCTATTTTATCAAAATCTCCCCATTGCTTTTTGGGAGTGTCTTCTGAAAACTCACCCCATTGCTTGTTAGATCTTACATTATCTTCATTTACTGATGATTTACATTCAGCCTCGGTTGCCTTTGTTATATCCATTTTTTCAGCAAGTAATTGCTCATTTTTTGTTTCTCTCATTTGATTGCGATCAACAGTTTCTAATATTAAATTGAGAAATGTCAAGTTTTCTCTATCCACTCCATCACGCTCCCTTATTTCTTCATCTGTCAGGTATTGACCCACTAATTGTTCATACAAAAGTGGGTTCCTGGACATCATTTGTTTGTCACTGAAATAATCAGTTTCACTTTCAAGTTTTTGCAAAGCTTTGTATCTCCTATTCCTTATTCTTTTACGTTTACTCTCTTCAGAGTGATACACTTTTAGTTGTCTCATGCATTCCGCATAATTATGTTCATGAATAGTGGATTTTAATTTATCAAAATATATCAAATGATTTGGAGCTAGGTACTTCCCAAATTGCATAAGAAACTCTGTAGGTGACTTTTTGAACAGCTCATATGCCATTTCAATTTTATCGCTAGTCTTTACCTCACCTTCATTTATATGGGCATTTTTAAACGAAATCTTCGCACATCTCACTAAGTAATCAATTATATCATAAATTGGATCAATTTCAACTTCCGTATCGCTTTCATCGTGATTACTGTGCGAAATGTAATTGACTTCCATTATGGCTTAAAATGCAACAGCGTTTATTACAATTTCTGCATTTGTAGTTATTAAAGAAATGTTAAAATTCTTTTTAGAAGAACTGATAAAATAAAACTCCAATGATATCTATCACAAGTGCACTAATAAAATTATAATTTATATACAAAAGTGATGTTTTTTTTTATTCGTTCCATTTGGAACAGGCTAAGGTCATAGACCATGCTGCCTTGTCATCAGTTTAATTGTATTTTTTTTTATTTATAATAAGATAACAAGTCTTTAGTATACCTTTAATAACTTTGTGTGGCACTAAAAATAAGTATATAAGAAAAATATTCCAATGTTAAGTCGAACGTTAAATGATAAAATAAAATCTTAAAATGTAAAAAATAAAATCAAAGAGACCATATAACTAATCCATTTAACATTTTTTTTTTCTTGATACGGAAAGATACAAACCATTTGAGACTAATGGTTGAATTCAACTTTATAAGTAACGATACATTTTATATGGAAAAATATAAGTCAATCATTACGCTGTCATAAACAACAATGAGTGTATCTAGTATATCATAGAATAGTAACATAGGTAGTCATTACATTCTCTTAGGAATCTATGAATATACCACATTCACCCGTCTGTATTTTTTTACTGTAAATCATAATCTTGTAAATATCCTGAAGGTCGTCTTTCATGCACAGGACGACCTGAATCTGAATGATCACTGCTCAAATAATTAACTCCAGAATTTTTTGTGTCTGTATGATCAAAATTATCTATACCAGGCATATTAGTTGGACCTGGTGTTAAATACCAATTAGAAACAGTACCCTCTCTCCCATCTGCAAAACATATGAGAGAATAACCCGGATTGGCTTCCAATAATTCTACTTCTTCTACTAACGGGTCATATTTGCTGTTCCGCACATTTTTTATAATATCGGTCCAGGAATAGTTAACCAGTTGGGTAAAGAAACTCCATTTCCAGAACGCCTCGGAAATTTGAATATTCTGTCGTGTGGCGTAGAATTTATAGCTGTACACAATAATGAACGAATAGAATGTAGAGACAAAGATAGAAAGAACATGTTCCTAATGCTGGACACTAAGATTTCTAGATCGTAAACACAGTTGCATCGTCCTCCATAAAGTTCCATTTAAAATTAATTTGAAAGTTAAATATTATAAGAAACACAAAACAATGACATATTTATTTATTTTCGATACTCAATTTACTAATATTACGTCAGAAACAAAATTTGAATGAAAATCATAAACAAAATCCAAACATCGCGTGTGATATCTAGTATGACTTCAAGAACTAATTTTTATTTTATAAATACTTCCTCATATTTCATCCATTATCTTTACTTCAAAATATTTTTTGTAACAAATTATAAAAAAAAAGTCTATATCATCAGTTGATTAGGATATGAAAAATAAATTACCATTTCCTAATCGAGAGATGCATCTGTATCTGATTTTTCATTTACTCTATAGAGTTTATTCGATTTTAGGTTTCGATGTATATATATTTTTTATCGATATAGATTGGTAGTGAATTTCCTTTGGTTTTGAGATAATTCTGTTTTCTGATATTATCGTTGCATCCCTAAAACAAATAACAGCTGGCTGTCACTAGGGTTCGAAGTATCGGCTTCTGGTATCGATACCGAGTACTCATGTGGTATCGAAGGTCATGGTATCGATACCATAAAAGTATCACTCCCAAAGTATCGATACTACTCAGTATCGAGTATTTATCGACATCATTAAAGAAGGCTAATCCTAAAAAAAACAATCTACCAGACGGACAGACAAACAAAAATTTGTAAAAGTGTATGAAAAATTGTTTTTTTTTTTTTTTTTTTTATTGTTAGAAAACCAACAGCTTTTACAAAATTAGAATAGTTAAGACTTAATATTAACAAAGAGTAAAGCTAATTACAGGTTTTCCTGAATTAAACCAATTGTATGTCCTTAACAGTTGGACTGGGATTATTATTTATAATTTAAAATCAACACAACCTTGACATTCGTACACACACACACTCATCATACACATCTAAATTCGTGAGCTCCTCGAACAGTTTATTTTATACATCGCAGAGTAACAAAATAATCACTTACACCACACCGGGCAGCACCGCAGCACCGTAATAACAACCAAAATAATTATGAAACCTGTAAACATTAGCAAAATGCTCCCCACCCACTCCACCACTTGGACACATATTTATATATCCCAATAGCAAAATAGGCAAAGAACATTTACACATGCTTATATATACATATACATACACACATATACAATACATACATACTCATATAACTTACATTATACATTACATATACAATGTAAAATTAGATACTATGAGATTTCATATTCTGTTATTCATTTTATTATATTAGATCAACTACGTCTTGTGAATTTAAATATAAAATTGTTAATAATTGTGCTTGCTGTTTTTTAAGTAATTGTTTATATGTTTCTTTAAAGTATTTTTACTACAATTAAAAAAATCAATAAAATGAAATTTTTTATTGTAATTTCTAGGTAGTCTAGTGAGAACAGTGTTAGCTCCATAATTAGTGCGTCTTTGAGGGATGTAAAATAAAGGTGTATTTCGGGTTCTACGTTTTGGTGTACAAAATGTTACGCTATTGAGCAGTTGTGGGCAGTCTATTTTTCCGCGAATAATGTCGAATAAAAAACACATATCCAGCATATCGCGTCTCTCTTCTAATGTTGAAAGACCATTTAAAAGGCTAGCATTTATATATGAATCGTAGGTTACTTTACGGCGATAAGAAATATGCTTAATGAAGATTTTTTGTATACGTTCAACTCGCTTTTTATAAATATCGTATAACGGGGACCAGATTGGGCAAGCATATTCTAGCAAACTCCTTACATATGCGAAGTATACAACTTTAAGAGCGCTTATATCACGGAATGGTTTGCAAGCTTGTAAAACAAAGCCTAAATTTCTGTATGCCTTTTTTTGTAATTAAGTCTATGTGATGGTCAAATATCATTTTGCTATCTAAATAAACTCCTAGGTCGCGTACTATATTAACTTTTTTTATTTTTATTCCATTTATATTATAGGTATGTAAAATTGGGATCCTTTTGCGAGTAAACGATATACATTGACACTTATTTGCGTTTACTGTTATGTTATTGTCTGTGTAATATTTATAAAGTGTATTTAATTCTGACTGTAGCGTATGACAATCATTGTAATCGTGAATTTTTAAGTATATCTTTTTGTCATCTGCATACAATAAATGTTCAGCATGTTTAAAACACTTTTCGATATCATATATATATGAATTATAGAAAAGAGGACCCAGATGTGAACCCTGAGGTACACCAGTTGGAATTTCGATGAAATTTGAGCGAAAACCGCCCACAACAACAGCCTGTGATCGATTTGTTAGATAGGACTTTATCCATCTTAAAAGATCCCCGTGTATTCCAAGTCTACCTAGTTTATGTAGAAGTATGGAGTGATCCACGCGGTCAAATGCTTTTTCAAAGTCCGTGTAGATCACATCCACCTGCCCTCCATTCTCCATGTTCTTGATAACATAGTCTGTGAAACATGCAATGTTGGTAACTGTAGAACGCCGCCTAAGGAAACCGTGTTGGTTCTCCGGTATTCCTTTAACTATCACCGGGTATATCGCATCATATATTATCCTTTCAAAAAGTTTACTTAGTGTATTAAGAACGGAGATGCCTCTGTAGTTTTCAACCCTTATTTTTGAGCCTTTCTTGTGAATTGGAACGATTAAAGCTTGCTTCCACATGCTGGGAAAAACACCCTCTTGTAAAGATACACCAAAAATCAATGCCACTGGAGTGGCCAACATCTCAGCGCACCTAACAAAAAAAAGTGGAGGAATACCATCGCTGCCCGCCCCCTTTCGAACATCTAATGATTTTAAATAACTTAAAACTTTTTCGGATGAGACAACAATTTTTGAAATGGAGTCAGACGATGAACTATGTATCGTATCTCTAAAAGATGCGGAAGAAGGAACTCCAAAAACACTTTGAAAATAGTTGTTGAAACCGTTGCAAATAGATTCGCCATCTGTATAGGTTTTGTCATTTTATTTTAATATTTTAGGATAACTAGACCCACCTCGCAGAGATTTTATATGAGACCAAAATGCTTTTGGGTTTCCCTTCAGTGCACTCTCTGTAATTGAAATATATTTATTATAACAAACACCCTGAATACGTTTCTGTATTTCACGTAATAAGCAGAACTCGTCATAGTCTAGCTTATTGTTAAATTTTTTCCAACGTCTATGCGCTTTCGACTTTTCTTTAATTATTTTAACTAATGCAGCATTATACCATACAGGATATTTTCGAATATTGGTGTTCAGTTTACGATAAGGGACATACTTTTGAATCAGGTGATATAAGCACTCATAAAGGATGCTGGTGGCGTTTTCCGAGTTTTGTGAATAAAACATTGTTTGCCAGTCACATTCACTCAAGTTTTTATTAATACTTTCATAATCACCCCTATTAAAATTGTACCTTGCTGAGGGACTTTCTTCAAAAGGGGACACTGAAAGATCAAGTATTTCCACACAAAAAGGAGGATGTGCAAGGTCAAGTTTACAGAGGGGTAGTTTGCATTCTGTTATACTTAGGGGTAAATTTGAAAAGGCCAAATCTAATGTATTACCTACGTGATTTTTTAATGTATTATATTGTGTAAAATTAAAAAAACAAAGACGCTCCACTAAATAAATACCCATATTCTGTACATCGACGGTACCGTGTTTTATATGGCATGGTCCATTTATGTCCCAACGAATACAAGGTAGATTAAAATCACCTACTATTAAAAAGTTTTCATTATTATTTAAGTTATATAAATGATCAACCACGTTAAGCGTATATTGAACGTCTTTTTGAATTCGACCAGACTCGGGAGGAATGTAAATTGTTATCAAGTTAAGATCAACACATGATGAAATAGCTCGCGCAGGGATTTTTACCATTAAAATTTCAGTCGCCTCACAGTCGTTCAAACAAAATATTTGTTTTGGAAACGTAAGAAAATAAAAAAAAAAATGTCTATAACGAAAATATAGTTTATTAAACAATCAAGCCTTTCCATTTCAAAGTAAATGGAAGAAGAGAAAAAAGAAAAAAAAAACCCGATCGAATACTTCCATACATTTATACAATTCAGTCATACATTATTTTTATGGCAGCCAAAAGGGTTAAAGTATAAAAATAAAAACCAAAGAGTAAAAGTATAAGATTTAAGTTGAAACATCAAATGCAAACGCCTATAGTATATATTCTTTAGCAAGAATACTCGATACCAGCAATTTTGATGAGTACTTGCGAGTATTTACCTTTTTGTAGTATCGAGTACTTAGTATCGAGTTTCGCTTTTGAAAGTATCGATACCTACTCGGTATCGAAAGTATCGTTCGAACCCTAGCTGTCACTTACATTCGTCTGTGCTTACATTTATCTGTGCCCTTCTTTGATGAAGATACGAGTTGTTTTTATTTTCTTCGAATTTTAAGAAATAATCTCATAATTTTTACAGTAAAGTACACATGCTATATACACTTTTAAAGTTTTTCTAGTTTATTGCTCATATTTCCTAGAGCATTAAACATTATTCTGAAGCAACTGAAATGAAATAAGTATAATGTTGATATTTTTAAGTCGGTTTCATTTTATGATTTGATTTTCTTTGTCATGGATTCAATTTTAACAATTAATTGGAAATGGGAGGACATGTGTGGACCTGCCGGACTTCGGCCTTGGAACGACGTTATAAAAGACTTTGGGCCATGCTTCCAAGAGTTGTTTTTGCAGATACCAATATATTTTTTTATAGCCACAGTTTCAGGCTACTATGTTGGGTACCGAAAAGATTGGGTTGTGAGAGAAAAAATACAAGAAAGGATTATTGTCGTGCGATGCTTTGTAGTGTTGGCACTTTTTTTTATTCCAATGGTGCAATTGTATAATTTTCTTACCCAATCGGATAAACTTTGGTATCCTATCGATTACTTTGTTACGGGTGCCGCATCAATATCATGGTTGGTTCACTTTGGGTATGTGTTGACTCTTAAACACCGTCTTGGATCCAGTTCAAGAGGACCCACCATCCAGTTAGTTTTGTGGTTCATGATCTTTATACTCAATATGATAGCACTCAGAAGCAACATCTTGGCAGGTGCTTCTCTGACTTACAATATTGCAACATTGTGCTGTCATGTACTCTACCTACTCACTCTCGTCCCAACTAGTGAGTCAAGACCCACATTTTATTCACCATGTCTTGTTGGTTCACAACATTCACATGTAAGTGATATTATATTTTTATATTATATCTTAAATTGGGCCAGGCCTGGATCTAGGGGGGAGAAGTGGAGAGTTTCTTGCCACAGGCACTAGTGTCAAGGGGGTGCCAAAATCAACTTAATAGGGACCTATAATACCTTATCACATTTAAAAAAAGATTGAACTTCAAAATCTATATTTGAAGTCATATACTGCAAAAATATGGTAATATAAAATCGTCAGCCTCATAGAGGATGGGGGGGGGGGGATTAAAGGGGCCATATGAAGTTTCTGCCCTAGTTAAAAAAAATTGTAGATCCAGGTATCAATTGGACGTGCTATGATATATCATGAATATACAAATATTTCACTTGTCATTATAATTATATAAAAAAAAGGCTCAATTTGTTAATGATTTAATTATGTTTATTCTAGAGTGAATATACTCCACTGCTCCCACACATGGATGATGGAGTTTTAGGTACTGCTATGCAAGGATCAGGCTGTTGCTCTAAATTAACACTATCTTGGGTCAATCCTTTACTCGATAAAGGTATGAATGTATTTGATATTATCAAAAGTTTTTTCAATGAGAATGCTAATTTACTAATAAAATTTAAACATTATATTTTGATGCATATACTACTTTTTAAAACATGTTTTGACTTTAAGGCTTAGAGAATAAATTGAATGACCCTGAAGAGCTTTTTGATATTCCCGGAAAGTACCGTTGTTCATATGTAGGGGCAAGGATGGACAGAGCACTCATAGGCAATGTGGACCTTTATCAATACACTGATATACCTCATGAGCCTTTTATAGCATCTGGTAAGTTAAAAAGTAATTCAATATTTTTCTTATACTTTGAAGTTGATTTTGTAACTATATAAACTAAGCCTAGCCCAGCCCAGCTAAGCCCAGTTTTATCTGAATAATCAATATTCATAATAGCAAAATTTAGTAGCTCCCTTAAGAATTTGACTATTTATTTTACACACATAAATTTTGCCAAATGTTTAAGGGTTCTAAATTTTGTGACTGGCGTAAATTATAGCCTATGTCTACTCTGTATGTAGCTATCCATAGGTGAGAGAATTTTTGAAATTGGTCCAGTAGTTTCAGAGCCTATTTGATGCAAACAAGCAAACAAATCTTTCTAGTTTATAATATTAGTATAGATAAAATGTGACCAACCCTGCTATTCTGTAAAAATTCAAACCCGAATTCGAATTGTGTCTAGAATGACCAGCAATTGTGTCTAGAATCCTATACCCAGGATCAGAAAATCACAAAATATGTGTGACATAATTCATGGATGCCCCTTACTTAGAGAGTGACAATATTATTGTTTATAGGTTATGGTTCTGTTGATCAGTCTGTTCCTCAATCTTCTACACCAGTGACACCAACTTCTCGAGTACCAGTCCGTCGACAAAAGCGACAAAATGTAACACTATTAAGAGCACTACACACTTGTTTTGCGTTACAATTCTACAGTATTGGTATTTTGAAATTGTGTTCTGATATGGCTGGTTTTGCTGGACCTATATTGTTGAATAAATTGATAGCTTATGTTCAGGATGAAAGTATAGATGAACATTTGGGGTATGACAAACAAAATATTTTTTTTTATTGTATAACTGAATATTTTGTTTAAAAGAAGAAATGCTAACCTGTAAATTATAATTTTTAGGTACTCATATGCTGCTGGTCTTTTGATAGCAACAATTATAGCTGCCTTATTTGATGTACATTTTAGTTGGTTTATGTCTATAATTGGACTTAAAATGCGTGGTGCTATAGTCTCAACAATACTGAGGAAAACTCTCAGTGTTACATCCACTGAACTCACAAAATCATTTTCAGTGGGTGAAATAACAAATTTCATGTCTACAGATACAGACAGAATCGTAAATTCATGTCCGAGCTTTCATGCATTATGGAGTATACCTCTTCAGGTAAGTGTAGAAATTTAAATTACTCTTAAACAGTCAACAGCACATTAGGTTATAACTGTCTGCCAAATTTCTCCTCATGATTTTAAACCTTAATTTTTTCAGGATAGAGTATATAATCAACTGTATGACATATTGTAGTAACCTGATGTGCCTGTGTGTACATTTAATATCAAATATAATCACTTAAAATAATAATGTTTATTTCAGCTTTTCATCACTTTATTTCTTCTGTACCAACAAGTAGGCATATCTTTTTTAGCCGGAGTTGCATTCTCTGTTATTCTTATTCCTATAAACAAAGTAATTGCTAATAAAATAGGTCAGCTCAGTACTGAGATGATGAAGTTCAAAGATGTTCGGGTTAGTCTAATAAATGACATGTTAAAAGGAATTCGAACAATAAAACTCCATGTCTGGGAAGATTATTTTGTAAGAAGAGTTACTGGTGAGTATAGCTGGTTTAGGATATTGTATTATTAATCTTTCCTTTTGTGTATTTTTTGTAACTAATTATCTTTTATGTCGTAATTATATTACTCAGGTCTGGTTTATTTATATGCACTATTTACAAAACTTTTATTTATTGAAAGTTTGTATGAAACTTTCCGAAAATTCACAAAAGCTTAATTAACAGAGGTACGCGCTAAGGAGCTGAAATATCTTCGTGGACGGAAATACCTAGACGCTATTTGTGTAGTGTTATGGGCAACAACTCCTGTATTGGTGGCAGCTCTTACACTTGGCACCCATGCTTTAAGACGTCAACCTCTGGATGCACCTACAGTAAGCTCATTAAATTAAAATTGGGTATATGCATCGGCCTCAGTTTGTCAAACTATTAATAAAAAAAAATTGTTTGGTTATTTGAATTAAATGTTTTAAACTATTTTAAATACATACTTAGAAAGTAATGTTGTGGTTGGAGTGGGAACGCCTTCTGTACTTGCCACTCCCGTATGACGCTTACAGATCAATAGACTCTGACATCACTGTCTAGTATTATGTCTATCCTTGTCTAATCTATTGAACACTTACATATCAATATGTCATAATTATAAATGTCTGTTCTTGCAAAATTCGTGAAAATGTACTTCACTTGAAAATATCATGCATTACCTTAATCGGCACATTATATGGGTTTATGTTATCTTCAACCATATTTTTAGGTTTTCACAACAGTTGCATTGATCAATATGTTGATTGCACCCCTGAATGCCTTCCCCTGGGTGCTAAACGGACTAACAGAAGCATGGGTGTCTATTAAGCGGATACAAAAACTTTTGGATGTAAGTTGTTTTCATCACATTATTGATAAAAAAAGATAACTTTTAACCAAATGCATTACAGCTTCCAGATAGTGACTCTGAAGAATATTATGATAGAGTAAACACTAACAGAGATGAAGATAAGATTGTTATATTTAAAAATGCATCGTTTTCCTGGGCAACAGCGTCACAAAGAAAGAGACCTGTTAAAAAAGATAGAAAGAACAAAGGGAAATCTAAGAAGCGTTTGTCAAAAATGAATGTTCAAAGGCGCGATTCGACGTCTTCTTCGGAAACGGCAGCTTTAGACGGTCCCTTTACGTTGAAGGATATTACTTTTGAAATCGGCAGAGAGGAACTTATCGGTGTAACAGGCAACGTCGGCAGTGGCAAGACTTCTCTTTTACTCGCTATCATTGGCGAAATGTTAAAAAAGGGTGGTGATATACAGATACCCGATAACCTTAATGGTACAATAAGTATTTATTAAAAAGGAATTGCAAAGGAAAAATGTGTTGCAACAAATTGATCTCGCCAACTTTGTAATAAGTATTACTTAGGGGCCGTCCATAAATGACATCACACAAAATTCATGATTTTACCCCCCCCCCCCCCCATCCCATCACCTAAATATTGTTCTAATGTCACAGTTCGTTGACCCCCCCCCCCCTCCTAACGTGTGACGTAATTTATAGATGGCCGTCATCTTATTGAGTATCTAGCTACCACAGATATCACTAATTGTGTGACCTGCATTTACTGTATTTCGGCGCTCATTTATCCTATGTAATTAAGAAATTGAAGTGAATGTTAAATATTTTGCAGTGAATGTTAAAAATTTCAATTAATTGCAGGATTCGGTTATGTACCTCAGAAGCCATGGTTAGTGCGCGGTACCATTCGCGATAATATTCTGTTTGGGAAACCTTACGATGAAAGCAAGTTTCGGACAATTGTCGATGCTTGTGCACTAACGGGTAAATATATTTCGTCTTAGTAACAGGGTCCCGTTTTTACCCTTTGAATACGGAACCCTAGAAAACGTTGTCATACAGATTACTTTTTTTTGTTAAAATATCATCACATTACAAATAAGTATGATGACTAATGTTTTATGTGTGTCCATCAGGAACATTATTGAAGAATATTAAAAACGTATTTTTTTTTTGCTTAACCAATTTAAGCAAAAAAATACCAATTAAAGAAAAAAAAATATCATGATGTATGTAATCTGTATGACAACGATTTTTAGGGTTCCGTATTCAAAGGGTAACAATACGTTACGGCGATACATTGAGTTGAAATTTCGCATGACGTCACACATTTTCTACATAGTTGTGACCCCCCACTTCTCAACTTAAATCCTATAATCTTAGCCATTTCTTGTTGAATTGAAGCAAAAATAAATACGTAGGCATCAAACATTGTTCTATTATCTGCCTGACGGGCTAAAAAGAATTACTTTTTTGACAGGCATCGTTCCTATTATAATCATTTATTTGTTAATACTATTTGGTAATAAGTTAAACGTTAGGGTAAAACTACAGACACGTAACATCCAAACTTTCCATGATGACTTATGAAAGTTTAATGTAAAAAATAAAAACTGTAATACAAAACAATGCGTATCGACTCGGCTCCTGTCGCCTCCAATACATGCGTCATTTTTCATTGTATATTCGTACTCCGTTATGATAAATGTATTTATAATAGAATTATTACGATTGCTTCTTATCTCATTCCAACATGACTCACAATCACGGGAACACCCAATTATCGCTTACAGACGACCATACGTAAATAAAAGCATGACTAGTTTACATATAGATTTAAAACATTCTTAAATAACTAACGAAATTGCCTAGTCTGATTAGAAATGTAAATCCTTTTGTTTATTTATTTTTATAACTTTGTAGAGGATCTAAACATTTTGGGATGGAATGCTTACGTCGGAGAAGGCGGTTGTACGTTGAGCGGTGGTCAGCGCGCCAGGATATCTCTGGCGAGGGCAGTTTATCAAGAAAAACAAGGTGGGGTTATTATTTGTTAAATCCAATAGAGGACCATGTTGATAATGTTATCTTTGATGATAGTTTGCTATCTTTGCAACTATTCAGAAGCACATATTCATTGATAATACTATTATCTATTTAGTGTACTCGTTACTTATATATATATATATATATATATATATATATATATATATATATATATATATATATATATATATATGTTTTTTAGTATTCTTTTGACTTATATGACTTTCATTCTAAAAATATTTAGTGTATATATCATATTTGAAGAATGTAGTTTAAATAACTGAATGGCGTGTAAAATCAAATAAATCCGAAGCAACGAAGGTACCACAAACACCTAAGCCCTATAAAGTAAAGTGAATGTACTTCCTTGATCTGTCCAGGTACTGACACATCATTAATGACTCTTCATCAGCCAATTCATGTAGATTATATTATTTTTAGGTTTTAGATATTTTTTTGTCAAGCTGTTTAACTTTACCAATATTGTAACTGAATTTATACAAAGAAGCTTTTTGGTAGGTAAATGATGAAAATTTAAACGTGGCCACAAACAACGCATTACGTCGCTCCCTTCTACTCATATTAGAACTTGGAGCAATAAACCTTATGCATATGTACATAGAACGATCTTTATTTTAGAGTGCGTGAACATCGACGCCATGACAGAAGATGGCGTTTTCGCGGGAAATATTGAAACTTAATTTATTTTAAAATTTTAAGTTATTATATGTTTTTTATTAAGATATATTTCGTGTATTTCTATAAAATAACAATATTTAAAGTGGTCGTCTACATCCTTATTGTTTCCTTGTGCAGTGTACTTGTTGGACGATGTGCTATCGGGGTTGGATGGCGTGGTGGCGCAGCACGTGATGCAGCGCTGCGTCCTGGGACTGTTGCGTCGCACCACTCGTGTTCTAGTAACACATTCACACCGGCACCTCGCCAAGACCAACTATGTATTACTTATGCACGACGGACAGATCGCTAGGCAAGGTAGGAGATGCCGACGATCTTATTAAAACCTTTTTGATAGTTTTTGTATACTTTCCTTGTGCCTGCGTAGAATACTATTCATTACAAATAGCTGTCTCACTGTCAGTACCGAACATTCACGGTATAGGAGCTCAGTACTATATCTACGCGGTTTCCCCGTCATTATCTTTAAAATAGCTTGTTGAGTTTTTCTAATGGAAGCAGTGTACTAATACCAACACCACGCCAAGTAACTACACAGTATTGTAACAATGACTGAACCAGTGCATAGTAAACACAAAGCAATGTATCACGATCACCAGAGAATCTAAGCTTACGGAAGGTTAGTTAGGTTTTGGACATGTTGTTTCCAATTTGGAGTATTGTCCGATACGAGTCCAAGATACTCCACATTTTGCGCACACCTCAATTCAGGACAGTCTCAGGAATTTTCTCACACAGGAATATGGTGGTTTATACAAAAAATGCATACTCGTCGAACAGTCTATTTTAGTTGTCTTAAAAACCACTCTACTCTTATCGATCTAATAAGCGCGTAGTGCTAAATTTCTAATCCTTAATATTTATATATGGTCGCAATTGAATTTATATGATATGATGATATGACATATATACATTAAAAATTATACATTAATCGTAGGTCCCCCTGAGGTAGTACTTAATAATTTGGAAGAATTTATGCTGAGCGAAACAGAGTCTATAGGAGAGGAGCTGCCGCGTCCTATCCCACCGCCAACAGATACGGAAGATAACGTCAGCAGAGACAGTTTAGATGAAGAGGTTAGTTAAACAAGTCAATATATAGATATTCCAAGGTATAATCTCACCACAGTGTTCAATTACATTCCAGTTGAAGAGTATAGAAGATTATGCGAAAAGCTTTAGACCCATTAAAATAACAGCTTTAGAGTTGTTTTGATGTATAAGGGTTGATGCACATTTGGCAAAAGATCCGTCGAGCGTATAGCAGTATTCATGTACGGATCATAGGTTTAGTGTGGAAGGCTACCGATAACACGCTATAGAATTTCCATTAAATTTGCTCCGATCCTCAATATTGTATATTATCTTTTCAGGAATCAATGTCAAAGGGCACTGTTGATTGGTGGGTGATAGGAATGTATCTCCGCTCGATTGGCGCTTTCCTGTCTGTCATTATCTTAATGTCTCTGATATTAATGCAAGTCTCGCAGAACTTCACTTTCGTTTGGCTCACTTTCTGGGTCAAGAGTGAAGCACCCCGCAATTCTACGAACCTCACTAATACTCGATTGAATGACGTTCCTCATGAAAATACTACGATATTAGATCACGGTGTTTTGTCAATTGACAATATCGTCCATAAGTTGATTAACACGACGCTGACTTTAGTGAACAACTTTTATGGAAACAAAACATATGTCAACAATTCCACTGAAGTACCTCTGCCGCAAGTAATAGAACAAGAAGACGTCCAACTGCCAATATATACAAACAACTTTTACCTAGAGATGTATTTTGCACTAGCCGGATTGAACTTAGTATTCACTATTATGAGAGCATTCCTATTCGCATATGGTGGTGTGAAAGCTGCTACAAGAATACACAGATTGTTACTAAAATCTATAATTAAGGTATGATCGGTATTAAATATTATGTTGGTATCTCTATAGAATATAACAGTAATTTTTTTTTATTTATATTTCAGGCGAAAGTGAAATTTTTTGATGTAACACCATTGGGACGCATCCTTAATAGATTTTCATCAGATACATACACAGTGGATGATTCGTTACCGTTTATACTTAATATACTTCTCGCTCAATTTTTCTCGCTTATCGGTAAGAATACTTGCTTTATTACCCTTTCCTCGGTCTATTATACCCGTTTTCACTAAAGTTAGGAGTCGCCTTAATATTTAGGAAACAGTAAAAGTGCAACTCGCCATTGACTAGAAACCAACTAAAGAAATTGAGCAATATTTCAAGTTATGATATTCGTTATTCGGCGCCTTGCGCTAGGCATTTGTGTATATACAGGTCATAAATATGTCAATAGAAAAAGGAAATATTTGAAATTAAACTAATCTGCTTAGGTGATTCGTAAGATTAGGCGTTACGTAGTTAAGCTACGCCTTGTTCTAGGTTAGTGAAAAGGGGTGTCAATGTCCCCACTGTTAGGGCACAGATTTTTCCTATAGATAGGTTCAAATTGGGAAAACGTTCCATAACCCACTACACGGGCCCATTACAGATTAATGGGTATTAATGTCTGGCCCGAGAGGGTAACACAGGGAATTAATTCAAATTACGATCTTATAGACTTCTTTTTATAAACCAACGTTTCCAACATATTTCACTGTCAAATTGTACATATAAATTACAGTAAAATCTTGAAGTAGTTTTTAAAATTTAATATTTGAGCCGAACTCTCTGCGCATCAATCCAACTTGTTCTTGGCCGATTGTTTTTTTACTTACATCTAGTGTTAACTTGTACTAGGTTAAATTGATGCTAGTTGCACGTATTCCTAGAATTATCTTATACTGTATTCTGTAATACTTGTTCAACCTAGTCCACCGAGTATTAGTAGTTTCACAAAGGTAAGACTAAATGACACTAGATTATTGGGAACCTTATTGACAAACAAATAGAATCTAAATTAGTTTGTAGTGTTTTACTTAACATTACAAGTACTATGGTTAGATAAGTTTATGGAATCTCACCTCGTGGCGTTTGAGTAAAAAAATCTGAAATGGCGAACTACTATGTAGGCATGACGCAGTCATACTGACCTCATGCGGATTGGAGAGTATTAACGACTGCAAATGCAGGTGGGACCAACGGCCTAACGTGCCTTTCAAAACACGGAGTAGCTCAAGATAATCATTTTATTGGTCACCCATCCCATGACCGACCCTTGCAAAAGTTGCTTCATAACAACGATCGCGGGTCTAATGCACTACACGACGGAGCTTATATAGGACTTATAAACTTTCGCGTTGCATTATATTAGATTGTATAAGACGGATATTAACGCGATAACACGGAGCTTATATAGGACTTATAAACTTTCGCGTTGCATTATATTAGATTGTATAAGACGCATATCTATATAGGTCTTACTTCAAATGATATCCTGTGTCAGGTGCCGTGGCAGTGACCGTGTATGGGTTACCGTGGTTATTGGCTGCCGTGTTGCCGTTGACCGTGATATATTATAGACTGCAGCGACGGTACCGCACCACCTCGAGGCAACTTAGACGATTGCAGAGCGTTACACTGTCTCCCGTCTACACTCACTTTAGCGATACTCTTGATGGTACACTCACATATTTAAATATATATTTTATTCTACTAGAAAATCGAGTCGCTGGAGACGAGCGAAAAAGATATTCTTCATCATTATCAGCCCTTTGTACGTCCCCACTGGGCTCAGGCCTTCAGGCTTTATGGATTAGAATGATAGTTTTTTCGAATATCGGAAACTCAACAAAAACAACGTACATGTAACAAATCCGCGAAAAACTATCATTATAATGACCATATAATGATATCATTAACTGACCATGAAAGCTTAAAACAATATATTTCTTACGGATGGTTAAGGAGTATGTGCCATAACCCTCCACGTTGGTCCAATGCGGATTGGTAGGGTATTAACGACTGCAAATATAGCCGGAACCAACGGGTTAACGTGCCTTCCGAAGCATGAAGTAACTCGAGATATTTTTTCTGTCACCCATCCCGTGACCGACCCTTTCGAAAATTGCTTACCAACAATTTTCGCGGACCGCGAAGCTTACACACGATTTTAAATTACACTGTATATCTCTGTGCATACGGAACAACGAAAAGTTCAAACTTATAACGGGTGGTGTGTTCGTTTGTAGTGTTCGCTCCGTAATTACTCGAATTTTTAACTCATTCATGACGACAAAAAAAAATCGAATAAGTTGAAAACAAAACACTAACTATTAAACAAATGACGATTTTAGAAAAAATAATTCCATGGTTTTTAAAATAAAATAAAATAAAAATTAGAATTATCAGCCAAAAAAGAAATATTTTTGATTTGAAATGGCCAGTACGGCAGAAAAGCAATTCCATACGTAAACCCCTATTATTACCGACAGGAATACACGTGATAGGTCGCGACACAAAAAAAAAAGAGACATCAATATTAGTGGTCCTCCCTTGGCCTCCGGTCCTGGAGGCCAAAATCATAAAATGAAAATAAATAAAGTTATAAACGTATGCATCACTGTTTGATTATAGGTTGTGATCGAATCAAAATGATTTGATCAATCGCGATCGACACAGGTCTAGCTTAAATCTTTCGCCACTTGAAGGGGTAAACGTTTGTAGGGTTAACAACGATCCGGGCGATGGGTGCGAACTCTCGCTGGTCGGATATAGGCGACGAGTACGTGGAGGCGTGGCAGAGGGCAGCGCTGTGCTCAGCGGCGGCGAGCCAGTGGTTAGCGCTGCGACTTCAGGCGAGCTCGGGCTGCGTTGTGGCCGTCGCTGCGTTATTAGCGGTGTTACAACGAACTGTACATGCTGCAGATCCAGGTGACATCAGGGCTCGATAAATATCATGATATATGTCGTAATTTTCATGACTTGGTTTATAATAAAAAGAAATGTTTGAATCGAATAGGCTCGGAAACTACTGGATCTATTTTGAAAATTATTTCATTTATGAGTAACTACACCAAACGGTGTTGAAATAGGGTATATAATCTACTGGTGCTGTGACAGGTTCGATGCTTGGGCGAATTTCGAAATATAATTTTATGTTAAATAATATATGATTTCTATTTTAATCATAATAACTTCATTATTATAATATTTTATTTTCAAATTTATACTACATTTTTACAATAACATGTTTACAACAGATGTCTTTTTTGCGAACTGACATTCATAAAGAGCATATTGGAAAAGTCAAAATTTCAAATTACAATAGATGAATAATAAAAAGAAACGATGTTGAATATCAAAGACAAAAAGTTTGCATGCCGAAACCTAGGACGAAATAAACGGTGGTACGGCACACCGTTACAGTGCGAAGTCGCGGGACAATAGCTAGTATGCAATTATATATTTCAAATTATCGTTTTTTTTAATAGTTTTATTACAAAAAATTAATGTTGAAATAAAATCTAAAATTAATTTACATAACAAAAAATTCAAGCACAAGCTCGCATGTTTAATCTTCCTAACACATGACACGTTAGAAGAATTCGCGGTGATTTCTTCCAGAATATATAAATGATGTAAGACTTGGTAATAATAACAACTGGTGTATTCATGTAATTTCAAATACAGTTAAAAAATAAATAATTAATTAAATGAAAAATGCACAGTGTCGTTGCATTGTCAAAAAATCGAATAAAGCGAATCTAGTGTGAGCGCACCCGACTCCCGTTCGGCCGTTGTCGTCGCGGTAACAAAAAGTAGTACCCACTATGCTAACAACAGACTTACACTACGTTTCACTAAATGTGGCCGATAATATCAGAGCTTATTTTATCGGTATATTCTACAGGTCTGGTGGGCCTCGCTATATCTTACGCGTTGTCGATGACGTCAATGCTGAGTAACGTCCTCAATTCATTCACTGAAACTGAACGGGAGATGATTGCCGTCGAACGAGTCGGAGAATACATCAAACAGGTTGAATAAAAATTTGATAATAATAATTATGTATTGTTTTATATATTGTAATATGTAATAAAGTAATTACTTAACAATTTCAGGTTGAATGTGAAGATATAAACGGTGAAGCTCCACCGTATGGATGGCCTTTGCAAGGCGTAATTGAATTCGAACACGTCACTCTTAAATATAGGTAAGTAGAGCTTCTTATTCTTTTTTAATTCATGGCCTAGTTGCGTTTACATGATTCCGCCAATGTCATATTGGTGACCTTTACACGTTAAAAGAATGTAGGAGAAGTGCAAACGGCTAATATATTTCAATAATAATGCTTATAAAGTACATTAAATCGATAAATAAAACATTACACACACTACTATGCATTTGACACACGCAAACAAGTATTTGCTACACGCATTCATGTACTCTGTGGTCAAATTGTTTCTTTTGACATAGACTTGACACTGGCTAAATGAAAATTTAGCCAGCGTCAAGTTTTATATGTTTACCATAGACAATTATTTATATGTTTGTGATGTTTACTGTGGTCTTACTGAATGTCAAAAGATTTTCGATTTCAGTAATAACTTCTAATCGAAATTTATTATGGTCGAATTTCGACTACTGGGCGACCACTAGTCTAAGTAATTTATTGTTAAAGCAAATAAAATGCGTATCTAATTTAATATTTTCTGTTATCTGACTGATGGACTAAATATTATTTCCGTTTTTTTACCAAGACATTATCCAAGTTGGAACAAAGTTCGTCTATTATTTATAATCATTCTTATTTAATAACTTGTTTTTCGGTTAAAACTTTCCGGGGTTTCGAGCTACTCGAATTTTTACTTGCAATTGTATGTTAATAGTGGTCGCCAAAGCGGGACGCTAGCATTGAGTGACGTCACTTTCTCAACTTGGCCGAGCGAGAAGTTAGGAGTGGTGGGCAGAACGGGAGCCGGCAAGAGCTCTCTATTACATGCACTACTACGGCTGTCTCATATTGACAGTGGTCGGATACTAGTGGACGGTGTAGACGTACGATCGCTGAGTTTACAAGCACTCAGGTAAATATGACATCGCCACCCTTTTTATTACTTTTTCTCGAGCGCACATACAATATCTTACTTAAAAACCATTTCTCGAGTATATCATGCTACGTAGTATATATTTTTAAAGAATGTGTTCAATTTAATTTTTTCTATTTCAATATCTGTTTGAAAGTTTATTTACGTTCTAAACTGACTATCTACGTGTTAGATCGCGTATCGGTGTAATACCACAAGAGCCGTTCATATTCTCTGGGAGCATACGCGAGAACGTGGACCCGTTAGACATGTACTTGGGCGAGGAGGTATGGCGCGCGCTGGAACTGTGCGGGGCCCGGCCCCTGGTGGAGGCGCGCGGGGGACTCGGGGCCCCGGCCACGGACCTGTCGCGGGGCCACGCGCAGCTGCTGTGCCTCACGCGCGCCCTGCTGCAGCGGCCTAAGGTAACGTGCCGCCGCTAGATATGTACCTATACCGACAACGAGGCTATGATTACCTTTTTTTAAATAAAAATTATATACCTAATCTATTTAATATTTTAATATGAAATTAAAAATGTTTCGCCGATATATTCTATTAACTATCCTTAACCATAGAAAAAAGGTTGTGCACAGATGCACACATGATTAGTGTTAGGTATCAGTTTTAATTAAAAAGAACGACGATCCATCTCAAATTTCAATAACATACAAACCGTAGTACTGTTTCAATACACAAAAATCAGTGAATTAATAATTTCATTCGCAGATCTTACTAGTCGACGAGGCGACAGCGAATCTCGACCAGGAAACCGAGCGTCTGATATTGAACACAATCCGTAGCTCATTCGGCGGTTCGACCGTAGTGTACGTGGCACATAGGACTGCGGGCGTGCTCGAGTGCAGCCGCGTGCTAGTGATGGGCGGCGGGCGGGCGTTGGAACTGCGCTCGCCGGACGACGCGCTCGCTGATGCCACGTCGCATCTCTACGCGCTACTCTATGGATCGTGAGCAAATTGACATCTCTTAACAAAAGTTTGGCAGTATGGCTAAGTTCCTTCGCCTGTCATGGAAGAAACGACTACATACAATTATTAAAAAGTAGCAATAAATTATTGGCACTCGAGTAAACGTGACCGAAAGAAATGGTGCACGTTATACCGGCAATAAATTCTCTAATTTGACATTGAGGAATTAACTTAGTCAACACAAATATTTGTACAGATGTTTTATTTTAACGCGCCGATACATACGTTTATACGTGTACGATACGAAATTTGCAAAAATCAATGGAATCCTTCAATAATTTTGTCGATTGAAAAAGAGAAATCAATATTTAGAATTATGATTTTAAAAAATATGGTTATGTACCCCACTCTTAAGGGAGGACAAATACTTTTTTAAAAACAAATAATTACTAAATGTTTCAATCTACTCTATGCTCATCCCTTATTGCTAAATAAGTCCTGTTTCTTTAATAGATATTGAAGAAGTTTCTGTTAATTATTTTAGAATAGTGAAAATGTGATATTTATAAAGTTATGATTGCAGTTCAAGTGTTGATGCTGTATTATAAACACTTTATGTACTGACATATAAACATAATTTAGATTTGTATTGCTTTTAATTAGGTATGAACTAATCGTCATATCTATTTATTCGTATATGCTTGTGTCAATTCGACCAGTGACGATGTTGATGTTGATTTTTCTTTGATGAAATAGTTTTATTGAAGCTAGCACTAGCATCCAAAGTAATTGGTATATTATTATACAGGGATCTCTCTCAAATGTTCCTTCCTGTTTTCTTTATGAATTAATGGTAACTTGTTTAAGGTCTCTTTATTTTCTTATAATTTTCTTTTTAGTTTCATTTGCATGCAAAAACTTTAGTTTATTTTTTCTGTTATCTTTTATTTAATTTATAGACTGAGAACACGTGACAAAAATATGGAAGGGTCTTGTTACAGTTGACACTTCAGCGTTTCTAAGTATTAAAGGTATAACATGACTCAGTACCCAGTGTGGAGATGAAGTACTGGAGGAACTTAGTGGTGCTGAAACTACTTTGTTCCACTAAATGAGTATCTGAGTGTTTTTTTTCCGCAGTGAGTGTTCTGATATAATGTATACCTTTAGTACTTCCCTACTGCAGTACCATACTGCAGTATCAGCCTATACAAAAGTATTGCACATTTTTAATCATGAGCTCTTGTATTATTAGAACAGTAAGTTTCCTTTAGGTTGCTTTTTCCTTAAAAACCAAACTGGTCGCCAGTCGCCGACTGTGATTGAGCGTTGCGCAGTTTATTGCATTCCATATATAGCCATCTTTTCGAACATACCAAACCGAAAATATGTCACTATGCAATGGCAATACAATTGGCTACTTGACAGTTATAACAATTAATTATGAAATATGTTGGAAATTGAAATTTATATGTAAACAATAAGTAAGTAGTTTTTATTTTTGCAAAATTAACCATGTTATAATTTCTGTATTACAAGAACCAAAACGCGGGTGGCCATTACGAACCATTCTTCTTTGTTGCGAGTTCAATTATACACATGTTTATTGAAATGTGACGTCACAACTTGAAATATCACGAGCCAAATTAATATTGGACAATTTCAATTATTGAAGTGAATTAGGGTATGTGTCTCGTTTATTTATTTTTAATATTTAATAATACTTTTTAGAAAAATAATCTTATAGTGGTTTTATATCATCATATGAAAGTTTTAAATTACTTTTACCAAAACAATCGAGTAGTCAATAGGTACAGTCGACGACGGCCGACTTTTAAGTTTGGTGTGAACTACGCTTAACGTTATATTAAAAGGAAATCTGTGAATTCTTACAAATATAGTGATTTTACGGGATAAACTAAATGAATTAATTACGTTTGCTTAAGATAAAAGGTAAAATATCTAAATTATTACTTCATCGTAGCCAATTTACTTGCACGATGTCTTTTCCCTTGCTCGCTTAAAAATTGTTCAGTATTATAATAGTCACATTTCGAAAATATCCATTAATGCATTTAAATTTTCTCAAAAAGGAACACCACAAACCCAGTGATTTTCATTGTAATTGATTTTTTATATCTATTCTAAAAGTGAAGTGTGATTTAAGAGCCAATTTGAAGTGATATGATTTATTTTCCAAAGATTTCATTTCTAGTATTTTTTTTGTAATGTTAACCTAATGATGTTAAGATGGTAGAAAAACTGTAATGTATAATAAACTAAGCAGAAACTTTAACTAGTATGTTTAATTATGTTGTGCTAGTCTTAGAAGTTATTGCGTACCATTAATGTGTTATAATTCAATTACGACTTCCAATATAGTGGTTTTACGTTTTGCTTGAGACTAGAAAATGTATCGAAGACATTCTTATCATAATAAAGTTTGAAATTATAATAACTCTCAAAGAAACGAAATGTAAAGTTTATTACGAATGTTATAAATGTTGCGTAAAAAATATAATTATTATTCATTCAATAGTCAACAGTACTTCACTTAAGTCACGTTATTCAAACTGTCAATTTTAAACCTTAATGTTTTGGATGTAAAGATCATAATCAATTGCGAAAATTTATATTCTGGTAACTGGTACGAGGGACTCCCAGCTTGGTATTAGAAAACTTTCACACAACGCTTATTATCGTTAACAATTGAAAACTTTCTGAAACGTTTCTTTCCTACCTGAAATTTTAGCGTATAGGTTATATATTTGCAGGCGTATATATTAGAATAAGCGTTCAACTTGAAGGTGACATACGTATTAAAAACTGAGAAATTATAAACAACTAGGCACATTACGGACAACTATGCTATTTCTTATGATTAATATAGACACGACTGCACGTCAAGTTACTACAATATGTCAATTTTGAAAATTATTTTAAAATCTATCCTCAAAGCATTAAGGTTTTAAATCAAATAGAGAAATTTGTATACAGTTTTTGATAATCTAACTTGCTCTTGATCCTTACGATAAGTGCAATAACTTGAAAAGGCAAACTGACTAAGTACATTCCTATTCGTAATCAGAAAATCAGAAAAAGTGGGCTCTATATTTTCTTCTTAGATGTTTATTTTGTATTTTCAGTAGTTGTGATTCTTTTGATTGTCAAAGATACACACAAAACAAAAAATTAATCTTTAACTGCATATATAGAGGGAATCAAAAGATTTTACCTTAGGTCAATAACACAAATAAGTATCATCTATCTGTAGCAGATAATGTTTATGAAACAACAAACAAATAAATATCATTGATGCCAGTTCCTTTAAAACTACAAGGGACAATATAAGACATCCTTATGTAATTTTGGATTAAATAAAAATTGTATCCGCTTGCTTAATTACCTAATCAGTGTCAAATAATTAAGCGATCCATCCGCGCAGATAAACCTCACAGGTTATAGTGTCGGTATCTGAATGTACAATGAAATGTAATTTTGAGTATGATTTGAATAGATTAAAATAAACTTGCAATAAAGTTTATTATTATTAAAATAGCTCAAAAGTAGCCTAGAACAAGTTATTGCACTCTTCATAAGAACAGCAGTGCTATTGTCTGTACTAAACCTAAATAGATATTCAAAGCTAGGCCCTTTATCATATTTAATAGCTTAATACTTATTGTTGTGGTTTAATCCTTTAAATATCTTATTTCACCGTGGCATTTTGAAATCGGGAACAATTACTTTAGGACATAGAACAAAAGATATTTTTTATTACTTCAAAATCATTACATCAAAATCAAATTATTTCTTTATATCTAAACCATAAAGCATATTTACAAAAGTCTTGAACACTTATAATAGTTTAAGTATTTTTTTATTGTGGAGTGTAGCATGTTGAGAGCGTTTTGTTTCTCTTTATATAACAGTGGGTAAATCTGAATTGCTTACAATGCATTGTATTCGTTGTTTTGTATACAATTTCAAAGGAGAAGGGCTCATATTTTTTTATGTACTTATATGAGTACCCATAAGGATAATCGAAAATATAATCACTAGGTTAGTATTCATTTTTATTTTTTTTATATATAATATAATTTCAATCATACTGGTAAAACAGTTAATTGTAAAACTGTCCAATTAATTGCTATGATTGAAAGAGCATACCATAGACAATATTAAAATATGCATCATAATTCATTAAAGTATGATTATGCATTTTAGGACATTGGCTTGATGTATTCACTTTTAAATTATCGCGCTTCATAAATACTTAAAATAATGTGTCGGCACAGGTCAGTGTAAAAATCGCGTCTAATGCCAGTTATTATAAGTATTTCATTCGATTGACGTGTTTGAATGTGAAATAATTCAGTTTATAGAATGTAGAGTTAAGAGAAAAATATAATTTGCTTCAGGGGAAAGAAGCATTTAGCGCATAACAAAATGGAATTCAATACAATATCATAAAAAAATTCCAATATTAAAATGTCGTCTATGCCATCTTATTTGTTAAATCTGTATTTTTAGGCTAAGAAATAAATTTCAGATTGATATTTTTTTACATATTTGACTAATGGAATATCTTTGTTAAACCTTGTGATATAGCAGAATAAAGAAATTAAAAATTCATATGCAATATCTTGTTTATTACTTCACATGTTTCGTTCTTGAGGTGTTTTGTATGGGTAATCGATGTAGTCAAAAATGTCTTCCTCTGAAGATATGGGCACTGGCTCTCCAGGTACACCTAAAAAAATTTCACTATAGGATTAGGCTCAATATAAGAACCTAAATATAAACTCCTCTTAGCCCTAAATCAGACAGAAAAACTATACCTGTACTGCCAATTGGTCGTAAAGAGTATTCATTGAGTGTGAAACCTTTCTCAAGTGCATGGGTTCTCATTGTCTTATTAAATACATCACTTCCTGTAAAATATAGTACAGCACAATAGTATTGGTCATTTGGTATCAACCTGATATCAAGGCGACGGGCTGGCAACTCTTCTGATAAGCGACATACACCCTGAAAATAATGTTATTAAAAATCAGCTTTAATATGAAACGTTTAAAACACATGCCAGCTCCAACACCATCGGCTATGATGGACAAGAACAAACATATTTCTGTGTATGATTCAAAATCAGTAACAATATTCTCCAGATAGTACTGATTAGAGCTCAGCAAACCATGTGTCTACTTTTTCTGCAAAAAGAAACCAAATATCAGTGTATAAGCTTTATTTATTAAAAAAAAAAGGTTCAAAATGATGCGCCATAAATACATACATCTATAACCTTTCATTTAAACAGCTGCACAACTGTGTTGGTAATTGGTGATCATCCAACGTCTCATGATTTATAGGACCTTAACTAATTAATAAAACCTTTCATTTAAACAGCTGCACAATTTTGGTTGGTGATCATCCAATGTCTCATGATTTATAGGACCTTAATCAGTATGAAATTACTAAGGATGAATGGTCAGTCAGTCAGCTAAACACAGTTATGGATTTTGTGTTAATACAAAAGTAGAATTCAAATCTTAGAAATCACTAATTTGAGCAGAAATTACTATTATTTCTATTTATGTAATTAATTGAAATACAAAGTTCTATCATTTAATTTTATAATGACCATAAACTTTGTGTCTCCTATAGATATCACATCAGTAACAAGCCCTTTACTCAAAGTGTCGACAATGTTTTGCAATAATTTTTCTCTGTGTTTCTTTTTCATTTCATATGCATTCAGTGAAGGATGTGTCATCAAAACGTCTATATCACCACTTTCTGATTTTCCTCGCCTATAACATAAATATACAATTTCTGTGAATAGTTAAAAGTGGAGTATAATAATAACAATAAAATTATCCTAGACAAACCTATAACTGCCGCATACAGTCACATTAAATTCTGGGTCCAGCTTATTAACCATATCTTTTATCTGCTTTTCTATTCTTATGATTTCAGTTCTAGGAATTTTCTTTTCAAAATCTTCAAAGTATCTGCAATTTAAAAAAATTACTTTAATATGAATTTTTCTTAATGGGTCAAACCGTTTGCAAATTTTTTGCTTACTTGAGACCGATAAGTTGATGATGATTTAATTTATCCTTATTTTTTTTTAAATCTTCAATTGTCTTGATGGAATTTCTGACTAGTTCTGCTGCCTTCACGGGGCCTATACCAGATACGCGCGTTAAGAGATTTATTGCCTGGGCATCAGAGTCTTTATGAATGTTTTCCAGTTTTCTCAATTTTCCTGTATGAATGTACTCATCTATTTTCTTTGCTATTTTATCGCCAATACCGTTAAGTTTTTTTGCTTCATCTCCAGATTCAATTCTTTTATAGTGTAAGGCCAAAACGCTCGCGGCTTTTCGATAAGCATTATATTTGTGAATATTGCGACTCACATTTTTCTCGTATTCCGCTAATTCCATCAAAAAGTCACAGAAATCTACGTTTATATTGTCGCTTTCTGATGGATTTTTGCGTTTACTCATATCGACATTTATTAGTTTTTTCTCTGATTTTCTAGTTGTATTTTATGCCCTGAAATGAAATCGAAACTTTGTTAATTAAATGATAAAAATGTAAACAAACAAATGTCATTATCAAAGTGTTTTTTTTTTTTGTTAGATTTTTCCGTAAAGGAAAGGCGAAGAAAGCTTATCCCATACAACCATTACCTGTCATTATCAAAGTGACATTATACTAGAATGGGGAGTATTTAAAAAAAAGAAATAAAAAGCACCTCCACTAGATGGCAAATCAAGCAAAAGTTGATTTTGGCAGGAAACGAATGGACCAAAATAAGTCAATGAGGAAGTATTTAAAAAAAAAACATTAGTTCCCGAAGTCAAACTAGATGTCGCTACGGTATGTTCTTGATTTCTCCATGACAATCATTCCGGTTTTCTTTCATGTTTAAAAGTTAATTAATTTTCAAAACTGAATAAATAATTCATATTCTAATTGTAGTTTTTCGTATTTGTATTGATATCTAAGTTTCAAACTTTACAAATTTCAGTTTTTTAATATCTTAGTTAAAAGGAACGGAAATGACTGTCTTTGGTCCATTCGTTTCCTGCAAATATCAACTTTTGCTAGAGTCGCCATCTAGTGGAGATGCTTTTTTAGTGATTTCGTTTTTTTTAAATACTTCCTCATTCCGTTGCTTTATACTAACATATTAAAAAACTGAAATTTGTAAACTTCGAAACTTTGATAATAATACAAACATGGAAAGTACAAATAGAATATGAGTTGTCTATTGAGTTTTGAAAACTAATTAATTTAAAAAAAGAAATAAACATTTTATACATGAAAAAAAACGGAAGGATTGTCATGGAGAAATCAAGAAAGTAACTGTGGCGACATCTAGTTTGATTTCGAGAACTAATGTTATTTTTAATACTTCCTCATTATGAATGAAAATTTAAAAATCGACATGAAAATTACATCAATTTCTAACATTCTCTAAAAGGTTCTGTTTATGAAGCTGGCGCTAGAAATATTCTCGAATGGCACAGGCATTTTGTGCAAAATTTAAATCAACATTTGTAGTTAGACATCGTGCTTGAGTGGTTTTTGTGTGTACATGAAAGTAAACAAATATCAAAATCTGTGCGGCCTATCATTACTTATTGCAATATTTAGCAAAGTATGAGCAGTTGCAGCAATAAAACAAGTATAAACACCAAAACCTTGTAATTGATCGTGACTTCGAATAAAAATAGTTGCTCCGAACCAGTTCATTTAGTTAACCAAGTGCGACAAATATTTTTCGGAAGAACAAAAATTCTTTAAAAATAAGTCTGAAACAAAAAAATATAAAAAATTAAATGTGTGCTTAAACTTTGATGCTGTCTGGTGCCGACATTAGATACTCTAATCCAAAGTACATTGGTCCAAAGCTGTAAAATGAAAAAAATAGTAAAAATAAAAAATTTTGATGTTTTGAGGTTGTTTCGTATTTATTTTATTTTTAAACTAATTTCATTGATTTATTATTATTATGTGGCATGGTTTTATTCTTCTACGTTGTGTCACCCGTTATAAGAATAATTGGAGCACAGTGATGCAGTTAATTGAGTTACAAATAGAAAGTTAGCACAATAATGGATAGTATAACTGATAAACTCTGTGAATGTTTTGGACACAGAAGATTTAAAAGTGACCTTCAAGAACAAGCTGTGCGAGCTATAGCAAGAGGTAACTCATAGGTTTAAGTTAATTAAGTATTTCAAAAGCATATGATTTATATAAACATCACACGCAATAATATAACGCCACCAATTTTTATTAGCCTTAAATGACGTTTGATTGTTTTGATACAAGTACGATCCAAATAAGTCGCATAACCCAATGTTGCCAATTGCACTAACTACAGAAATAACTTCAGTTAATCAAATCTCGTCATTTGTAAGCATTGAATGTTTCAAAATTCAGGGTTCATTAAAATTATTTTAGTAGGATGGCTAATTGTCGGCAAATTTATAATTTTTAATAAAATTATAATGAAAATCTTTTCTAATTGTTATCGTTAAAAATTAACTGTTGCTAAAGTCCCTTTCACAGAGTATGGGTATGGTGACCTTTGTTAACATATCCATTCCACGTGATTTGTTTTCCAAATCATTACAAATAACAACATTTAAAAACACAAATAGCTAATATTTTATCTATCTAAAATAAAGGAACATTTGTATCTGATAGCAAAAGTACAGTTTGAAAACTAATAACATTTTTACACTCTCCTATCATAAAAAAAAATGGAATTATCTTTATCTTTATGTCACTGTAAAACTTATATTTAACAACTTCATTCCAATTCTAGATGATTTCTGATTGGTCCATTAAACACATAAAAGCTGGAATATGATGTTCATATAAATAAGAGTTTTGATGTGGTGTCGCTTTCTCAAAATCTCTTTTTGCAGATGCTCATTTTTTCAGAAAGTAATTTTAGCAAAAAGTCTATTTCACTTTTGCAAATCATCACTTTCTCAGATTGTCATTTACAAAATCATTATGCACTGTGTATATTACATTAGCAGAATTGTGTGAAATGGGATAAGCCATTAATAAAAGAAAAAGAAACAGCCCCTATTGCTAACAACCAAGCAGTGAATAAATTAAAAACACAAATATCCGTAAACAAACCTTTATTATATACAAATCAAGTATACACATTAATGCCATATGATAAACAAAAACATGTATGTTGGTGAAAATACATGAGGTTGGTGAAAAAGTTTCTTCACATTTTATATGAAAATTCAAAACATTTTTTAATAAAGTTTATTTACATTTAACTAAAGTATGTACATAGCTTTTTGTTAGATAACTTTTTGCAATTTTGTAGGTAGGGACATGATCCCATTTTAGAAATTTTGGGGCTTCTGATCAAAAAGCCGCGACAAGTGGTTTTGGCAATCCTTATATGATATTAACCTGACACTGCCTAAAGAATTTTGAAAAGACCATAACAGGTAGAAATCTGAAGGTGCAAGGTCAGGGCAGGGACATTGGATTCATTAACACCTCCCAGTCAAACTTTCTTATTTTTTTGCTGAAATACAAAAGATGTGTGTGTCTAGTTATTATTTTGATGAAAGACCATACGCCCTCTATTAATTAATTCTGCCCCTTCTTTTATCAACTTCCCAGCATACACACAACATCACCTTGTTGCGAGTTAACCTAGGTTTTAATGATACTGAAACTTGCCAGATACAAATGGTATAGCCAGAAATATTTTATTACATGTTATACATACTATAAACATAACATTAGTTATTATAATTTTAACTAAATAAAATTTATTTATTTATTTATTTATTTGTTATATTGTAGGTATTTAAAATTATATAATATAAAAATCAAATTTGCGGGACTAATAATAATATTAATATTATATATATTAAATAATAATATTTTGCTTAATATTAATGAAATTTGTGAATGACATTCTGCGAAGGTGATGTTTTGCAAAAATGACATTGTGTGAAATTTTTGTAAAGGACTTTTAGAGAAAATGAATTTCTACAACATTTTCAAGATGACATTTTGAGAAAGTGACATATAACATCTAATCCTCACTGACTGGTATGGTCACTGATTATATTAAACACTTTCAGGTGTCCATGATGTCTATGTTTCAATGCCTACTGGATCGGGAAAGTCTCTGTGCTTCCAACTACCTGCAATGTTGCAAGATCATAAAGTGGCAATTGTCTTTTCACCATTGCTGGCCCTGATTAAAGATCAAATTGACCACCTTACTAAATTAAAAATCACAGCTGAATCAATTAATTCAAAAATGACAATGAAAGATAGAGAAAGGGTTATAAATGATTTGAAAAGTATGAAACCAGACACTAGGTTTCTGTATGTGACCCCTGAACAGGCAGCTACTAGCACTTTTAAAACATTAATTGAGCATCTAGTCAAATATAAGAAAGTTTCATATATTATTGTCGATGAAGCACATTGTGTAAGTGAATGGGGACATGATTTTAGACCTGATTATCTTAAGTTAGGGGAGCTACGAGAGAAGTACAAAAGCATACCTTGGGTTGCATTAACTGCCACAGCTAGTGCTGAAGTTGCCAAAGACATATTAACAAATCTTAAACTATTACAGCCTGTGGCAAAATATAAAACACCAAGTTTTCGGAAGAATTTATATTACGATATTGTTTATCAAAATTGTATTCAAGATGAGATAGGTCACTTGATGGACTTTTTAAAAAAAAGTTTGAGTGGTGATGAAAATGCAAAAACAGTAAGTTTTTAAAATCTTATCAATTGATTGTAGAAATTGCACAGTATTGGAATAACCTCACATTCTGTTGTCTGTATGCAAACTGTTATTTCACATGTAATATAAATTTTCAGAAAGACAAGAATGTTGTGATTGTTTACTGTAGAACTCGTGATCAGACAGAAGAATTGGCTAATATGTTAACAAAAAGAGGACTAAAAGCTTTGGCATACAATGGAGGTATTAAAATTGTATGTGTAATTATTTTTTTAATTACAAAAGTTTTTGTTCAAATCACATCATTGTTTGTTGGCAATAGGTATGAAATCATCCGATCGCATAGCTGTTCAAGAGCAGTGGTCGCGTGGTGAATGTCCCTGTATATGTGCTACTGTATCTTTCGGTATGGGCGTGGATAAAGCCAGTGTTCGTGCCGTAGCTCATTGGGGGATAGCTCAAAATGTCGCCGCTTATTACCAGGTAGAAAAAAAGCAAGTTTTTAAAATGTTCAAATGTTGAATGCTATAAAAATTTATTTAGCTCTATTTTAATTCAGCTACATAAACTTCTACAGGATTCCTCATTTTTTAATGTTGCAGGAGTCTGGAAGGGCTGGCCGAGATGGGAAGCCTGCATTTTGCCGCATTTATTACTGTCATAGCGAACGGAACGCTGTCAACTTTTTGCTCAAAACAGAGATGGGTCGCGCTAAAACCGAAGAACAAAAGAAACGTTGCAAAAACAACTATAAGAGTTTTGAAATGATGGTCAAATATTGCGAAAGTATAAAGTACGTAATGTTTCAGAGTTTATGACATAACTAAAGATGGATGCCGAAAGGATTATTCCACGTCGAATATATAATAATAATAGTTTCTCTTACACCGACTGATTAATTAACATTGATCGATCAGTAACTACTATCAGTAAGAATTACTAGACTTACATATTGAACACGCCCACAGCGTCACCGCTGTCAAAGACGTGCTATATTAAATTTCGTACAATGACCCAGCATATTTCTTACACTCGTGCGCAAATACATTTCAATTCTGCTCGCTTTTTACTATGATAAATTTAGTATTACGCAATTATTAAAAAAAATGAATATCCGTTGAATTTGCCACGGGCCTCAAACGATATAGCTACGCCATTGACCTAGTGTACGACCTTGCTATAGCATATTCTTACAATTGATGATCTTATCTTGACGTCAAAGAATATCGATCAAAGTGTTTCCCGTATTTTCGATCTCTAAACTCAGGTAACGTAAAAAATGATTTGTTCATTAGATGTCGCCACCGTACATTCGCGGAATTTTTCGGGGAGGAGTCTCCCAAGTGCGGCGACCGTTGCGACGTGTGCGCGGACGAGCGCGGCGTGAGACGAGCGCTGGAGCAACACCAGAGGCGGGCGATGTCCGCGAGGATCGGCAACACGGGCTACGGGAACGAAGACCCGTCCGATCTATACGGAGAGGGTCGCTTCGGACAGAAGAAGTATGAATTTTCACATTTGTATATGAAGTAATAATGATGTTTTCTATTAGAATCGCATCCAGTGATCGATACCGATATTTATAAGTATCCGTAACTGGTGGAGAAAACGAAATGACTGACTGACTGATCTGTATGGCGCTGGTTGCTGATAACAGCCGTCCTTTCCTGTATCTCGTCTTCCTCAACAATTTCAGATGATAGTACGCGACCGCGACGCTAGTATGACGTGCGTATCACTACTTTTTGGATGATGATTATGAGACTACGCGGAACCGTGTCTGCTGATTTTCAGTTCTCAGTGTGAGAGTTGACGACGAAGTAATGAAATGTCAATTAGTCTAGGGTTTTATGGATAGGAATAAGGTAGGCAGAAAAAAATATGAAAAACTTATTACCCTCAAATAAATTAAAAAATACATGTTTCATTCTACGCGAAAACTCATGTGTGAAACGTGAATGTAATAAAAAAAAAACAATACAATTACGCACCAGTTACAATACCGATACGGACAGCGAAGATTTAAAGATAACTCTGAAGTATCGGGGACACAGACTACGGAAACGACTCTACTCAACGTTTATTCAATCAATATATATCCGTTGCTGTTTATCTGCGAAACCTGTTTTTTTGCCATTAGATGGCTGACTAAACATTTATGTATAACTTCGTGCTTCAGAAGGCAAGTTAGACCGTTGATTCTTGCCAATACAAACTAGGTGGCTATTACTCTAATGCCTATCCATATGTAAGTTTATGCGCTAACATAAAGACCATTGATTGGCTAATGCCGACAGTTACTAGTGTAATGACCAGTATGATTACTAAATGCATTTCAAATTGGTAGGTGTTTACAATGATTGTATATGCGCCAGGGCTATATTTGAAATTAGATATTATGTACTATGCTTTAACTATAACTATTAACAGAGAGTTGGAGTCCTATTACGCGGATGATAGTGGCGAATCAGACGGCGAGACCAACAGACGTCAAGTAGCTGAGGAAACCAAGTCGCTTATATTACAAGAGTTTGCTAACAGAAAAAAACATTTGGAACAAGACAGAAAGAAAACCGACCAATCAGAATCTGCTAAATATTCAAAATGTCGCGCTGCTGACAGCACTAGTACAAAGGTATATTTTTAAATTGGGAATTTTAAGAATCTGTTATCGAAACTTTCCGATATCTGAAAAGATCTATCGATATATAAGTTTCGGATACCCTGACGAGCCTATATATATCACTATTTGTTCTACCAAATGATACCTTAAATCCAAATTATTATCTATTTGCATTATACTTTTGAAATAACTTAAAAATCTAATATCCGTAACCATACCTTTACATCTGATCAAATCTGAAACTTCATATGCGTAACATCCCTGATATGTATGATTTAATTTTTGTGTACATGTAATAAAATATTATAATAACAATTGGTTTTCCAGGTGAATGGGCTAACAGTTTCGGGACGGGAGGGTTACTTGACTCTTCTTAACGATGCGTTAAACAACAATCTAACAAGTATGAAAGAAGTAGATAGACCGGATAAGCCACTTAGTCGCTATGACGTGGAACAATGCGCAATCGAATTGGAATACGAAGCCTTTTCCGGCAGTACTGTCATCAGCCTGTACAGGCGAGCTATGACTAAGCTTGTTAGTATTATTTCTATATAAAAATAAATATTTGCAATGAAAAATTTTGCAAGACAGTATTTTAGGTTCTTTTTCTTATTAAAAAGTGACATGAGTCTTAGGTGCATATTTATAATTTTGATGGCACATAGTTTGTAAATATCGTTATTGTTTGTAAAATACCGTGGCAAGTCCTGATTAAGTATTGTATTGATATTATCAATTATCAAATCAATCTTAATCAAGTAACATAAAGGAGTGGAGTTAAAGAATGAATCAGCATGATTACTCTTAAATGTGGTATCCCCACTTCGCCTCATCTGCTATTTTTTATTCCGCGCTTTCAAAATCAGTAATCATGAATCACTTCTTGACCATAATGACATGGAACCATTATAGATATATTATGTACCAGCTGAACTTACCATTACCATTTCTGTGGCTTTCAGATATCTGCAGTAAAAGACTGCAGAGATCGCCTTTATCCGCGCCTTAAAACTTTCGAACCTGTAAAACGGAATACACTAAACGAGTTTGTTAAAGACTATGAAGCTCAAAAGCATAATAATAAAGGGTTCATTACCGCTGCTCAATTAGATATGGGTATGTATGAAAATGAGTTTGTTTAATTCTTTACATATTATAATGTAAATGTTTAAATATTGTAGCCTTTTGTTTTTTACAGAAAATAAGAACAAGGACAAAGAGTCAAAATCCCTTTCTAAATCCGATAAACATGCAAAACGTAAAGCAAATTCCTTTAAACATGACCCTTTGCAACAAACTAAATTGCAAAATTTCTTTAAAAAAGCACCAAACTGTTCACCTAATTCGACGAGAGATACTAGTGACGACGAAGACAATAATCTTGTTATAGATGAACATGCTGAATACAATTATGATGATACAACATTAAAATTAGAAGAACCCGAAACCTTAGATAGACATAACGATACAACTTTAAAAATAAATGAGCCATCAGATGATGATGGTGATAAAAATAATAAGAGTAAGACATTAGTAATAAATATAACATTTAAAGGTATACCAAGCAATAAAGAAATAAAAGAAGATAAAAATAAAAGCAATAATAGTATTAAAAATGAAAAAAATACACAAAGTGAATCTGTAAAGTCACCACAAAAAGTTAATACTGTTGCAAAAAGAAAAATAAAAGCATTGTTTGGAGAATCGTCTGACAGTGATGAAGCAGAAGACGTGAAGAAGAAAAAAGCCAAATATGATGATAAGAAAAAAAAATCTTCAAAAGATGAAATTAAAAAAGATCATAAAGAGCGTAAGAAGAAAGATAAAAGAGAAAGTCATCATAAAAAAGAATCAAAAACCAAAAAAACTGTGGCTGATGTAGTTTCATGTTCTAAATCCATGTCAGATAGTGAATCTGAAAAAGAATTGGTTATAGATGATGGGATTGAATCTCAACCTAAAATAGTTTCTTCTAAAAGTGATAATTGTGATAGTAAATTTGGAATTAATAGTGAATGGAAAAAACAACTTGAAAAAACAAATAAGGCATTAGAAGAATTTAAGAAAAACTTGAATAAGCAATCCAAAATTGATGAATCAACACCAAGCAAACTTGAAGTTGATAAACAACCTAAAACAGATGAAGTTACTTCAAATAAATTGGATAGTTCTATCGAGACAAACAATTCATCTTTAGTGGATATGGACCAAGACGATGAAGAATTAAACAAAGCACTTAAGCTTAGTAAAGAGGCAGATGCTGTCTTGTTGTCACTAAAACAATTCTCAGAACAGCCACAAGTACCTTTACCCGTAGAAGAACCCAAGCAAGAAAAACCACCTAGTCCTATAACATCACAATCTCAATCGCCAAAAAAACGTGAAATTAAAGTTAAGGTAGAAAATAAGACTAAAACTCCTAAGCTTGATAAAAGTGTGTTAAGTTTAAACAAATCTAAAGATAAGATTCAACAGGAAAAAATTAAATTAAAAGAAAAACACAAAGCTGAAAAAAGTAAAACAAAAGAAGATAAGAAAGCAAAGAAAACGGAGAAAGTAGATGTTGCCAGCCTTGTTGTTAAGTTATTAATGCCTTATTATAAAAACCAGAAAATAAGTAGCAGGGATCTGTTCAAGATAACTGCAAGACATATTGTACATCAATTGTTAGCTATTCAAGTAACTGGTGAGTTTAAACAAATTATTTTGTAAGTTCTGTCATTTAAAACAAAAAAAAGATAATATATATTTTTTTTATATTGTTACAGAGGAGACTGCAATTGAACTACTGTTACAAAAAGCCTTCAGTAAAGAAGTAAAAATAGAAAATGAAAGTGACTTGGTGGCTAAATTGAATCTGAATAATACAAAGTAATGGATATTTATAATTTTGTAATTTAATATTTATTTATTATTATAGAAGGCACGTTTTAAATGCCATTATAATGTTATTATTCTTGTACACAGTTGAATAAAACGAATTGTTTATTAATACTTCTTTATTATTTAGATAAAATAATGGATCATTACCTGAAATAAAACTTTAAACGCAAAAATATATTTGGTCATGTCAAACACGACATTATATTCCGATCAAAAATAGATTCTGTATTACAACTTATTATATTATTGATTTACCGTCATATTATATATTTGAGTGTAATCATGATGATCAAATAATAAGATACGTTACAATAACATGTGATGATATGAACAATGAAGTTACAGGAATGGATACAATACTCAATTTATATTAGAATAGGAGCCATTTTTCGCAACGAAATTGAGCTTTATGTCAATCCTATAACATGCTCAAAAAATCACGCATCATCCATGGAATAGTCCCGTATTCTAGACGTATGATCATTTTTGGCTCGTGTTTAGTTTTTATTTTATAGAATTGATATAGATTTGACTTTCCTATGCACGATTTCGTTGCAAAAATCGTTTCCATTTCATTTCGTAGTAGAATAAATTGAACCCAAATGTATTTATACTTTTTGTACCTATTATTATAATACAACGCCCTATCCACCATTAAGTCACCATGAAAACACCAAAGGTATAACCTTAAAAAACTATACTTACTAATTAAACTTAAAACCAAAACAAGATTGTTTTTAAATTACATTGATTATCAGCACAGCAGTACTACAACAGACATTTTCATATTACGACGGCAGTAACATTATTTGATCTAAATTAAGTTTAGCCAGCTAATCTTAAGTTGTTTTATGTACGACATTTATAAACACGAAATTCTAATATTTTGATGAAATTTGCTATATGGATATCTCTACGCCTGGATTTACGAGATCTCATCGCGAAAACAACCCACAGCTCCAACTACTGGACGGATCGAGCTGTTCAAGACGCTCACATTCGTATCTATATTCAAGTGTAAGTAATAACTTAAGCTTAATATTTCTAACCATGAGAATTTGAATGTAGTAAGAACTGTTAATAGCTAATATTAAGTCGTAATGAAAATTAACTGACGGACATACTAACTATAATTAGTCATCATCCTTATTATATCCTGAGCGCTCGCTTCCTGGGCGTATCGCGGGGTGTGCGTGCGGGTCGCTTGCGGGGTGCGCGGGGTGTTTCGGGCTCCGGCGGGGCGGATGACGTCACTAAGTTACGAGCGTTGCCGAACGACGGCTCTAAGCCGATCGTCTCCTGGAATTGCTGCACGCGCTCCACTAGCTCCTCATCGTTGTCGATTAGCTCCTCGATCTGTTCATTTTAAATTTGAAAGAATCCTTTTTAATATTATGTATTAACAGTAATCAAAGTAGGTAGATAGATTTTTGGCACTTGGCATATAATCTTTAATAACAATATTTCTTAGGATTAGGTTAGGACAATAATTGGTCTTCGCAGTCTGTCAAGCGGCAGTGATATTGCCTACTACACAATAAAAGGGAAGTCCGACTTAACCTTATCGACTCGCACTGGGAAGGAGGCCGAAAGATATATAAAGAACGTGCCTTGTGGCGCTTGGTCATCTCTACCTACAAGGGACACAGCGTGAAGATATAGATAGATAAAGGTTTGTTATATAGAAAACTAACGAGGTTTACAACTTGATATAAATGAAAAAGAGAGGCGAGTAGAACTTTAAATTAATTAGGCAATTCAAAAGACTTCGATAAATTTTCCTCGTCTATATCAAGGGCTAGGCGACGGACGAGCTACCAGTTTTTTTGCTGAATTTTTGTGAACATGCGTTACTCATAAATATAGTTTTTGTTTCTGGAGCAAATAATGTTCATCTTTCATAATTTTCCATTCCACGGTATGTTCACATTAGCTATCAATTTATTATTATTTTTATTGATCATCTGTAATTTAATCTAATACTGCATTTGCAATTGTTAATGCCCTCCAATCCGCATTATGTTAGTGTGGAGGGCCATAGCCCATCCTCCTTAACCATCCATAAGGAAGACCTGTTAATGTTACCAAATATGTACATATATATAAATTCTATACTGACCTCATGTCTATAGTCGTTTAGTAGATCTGTGGCGATGCGTACGAGATACGCTGCGATCTGTCCGCCGCCGGAGCGTAGACGTGCGTACAGACGCAATACCGCAGGCACTAGCACTTCCGCTACAGTACGCTTCATTTTCTATAACCCGCAATAAATATTTATTTTAAGTTCACTGACAGATTATGGATGACATTATAGCTTAACTAGGCTACACAATAAACCAAAATTAATGTAATAAGATTGCTTATATTATGCATTAATATGCTACTTCAGAAACATTAAATAAATCAGATACTACTATATCATACAAGTTTTCACATCTAGATAAATGGATAGCTTTTTTCAGAGGACGTTAATCTAACATTCCTCAATAGTTTGGTCTATTGAAGTTTACTATAACCCTAATACAAACGTTTAGTATGATTTCATTATAGACGCAGTCATTTAATAGTGAATAATGGAAAAGTATATATTTTTATTTAAAGGATCTATTGGAACCTTAAACCAATTTTTAAATTAAAATACTTTATATAAAATACTTAACCATTAAAATACTTTATTCGTAGGTAGGTATTTTTGACTTCCTACTAGGATTAATAGTAGTATTAGCACTAGTTTAAAGAAAAATATGTTTTTACCACCGGTGGAAGTTTTTACCAATGAACGGCTTATTTCATTATTAAATTTTATAATAATAATTTATTTTATACCCACGTGAGAAACAATATTTGTAGTGACACGTTCTTGAAGGTCATCTATATCTGCATCACCTGAAGCTTGAGGTTTTTCTGTGAAGTAAAAAAAAAACAAACTTCGATTTTCAAAATAATAATTATAATCTCTTTCGTCTATATAAGATTGAGCATGCGTAATGTCAATGTAGAAAGTCATATATATGCATGGCCAGGTCATGATGACCAGTCAGTATAGCCTATTCTTTTTCTCCGAAAATGTTTTGTACAGAGAACAGCACGTCAGTTTATACAAGTTTGTCAAATTTCATCATTAATAAAAACAATTATAATTATAATGAGTCTTATTTCAATAACCATAAGGTGTGAAATATAACTCATTAGGTGCCCGTCTCAATCACAGTCGGTGGTGTCTCACTCACACATAAGTTGTGTCTTAGTGTACAGGATTATATTTACTAGGAAGCTTCATCCGTGGTCCACATAACAGCGTAATGGTGTCCAATAACGCCGCGTTTAGAGATGGTGGTAATTCTTCCTCATCGTCGCAGAGATCCGCCGCGTGACCGAGAATTTCACGGGCGAGTCTACACTGCACGTTTAATTTCTGTACCAACGAGAGCCGCTGGAGCATCACGTCGTAGATCAGCTGACGGGCATCGAAAGATATCCCCTCTACAATAAAAAAATGAAAAAATATTTAAAAAAAAAAGTATATTCTTAGTGAAAAGTGCTTAAAATCCACTTCGTACCTTGCACTCTGAAACGGGACTCAAACCCATGACCTTTTACTATCCGAGCGACTGTTCTAACCACAGCCCAGGACCTAACAGGACTGACGAATTTTTCAATAAGAATATTTTCAGTATAGCATTGTGACAGCAAAATTGATAAAAATATAATAGGTATATTCTTAATGAAAAATTCTTAAAAACTTGTTGAAATAAGATTTTTTTTTAATAAAAAAGAGAATCGTCACGCTTTGAAAAAAAAATTTTTTTTGCTATGCGTGGCGATTCTACTGCGCACTAAAATATAAAGAAGAGCAACTGAACTGTTTAATAAAGACATGCGCGTTATCTACAGAAACACCGATAGATTTTCCTACTTTGGTTCCATCTATTAGGCAGGCACATGCCCAAGCAGTGAGGGCGTTGATAAGATAATGATGATGATATAAAGTTGGATGCTTTCTGGCAGATTAAAATAAAGATTAAGAATCTAGTATAGCAAGCCTGTGTGCACATAGTTCCTTCGGACCTCGCGAACGAAGTCTCGGGTTACAGCTATGACTTATATTTAGAATAAAAGAAACATTTTAATAATTATGTACAAAATAAGATTTTTTTGAGATTTTTTTTTCTTTGACTAGCGTGGTTGAATAATGTAAATTTATTAAATTTTTTGGGCTTTTACAAATAGCGTGATAGTAAAGTTTAAAAATGTATAAACAACAGTATATCGAGCTACACAAAAAGTGACGCAGCGAATTCTATTTTAAGTTTGAAATAGACGTATAATTCCTAATATGAATATGTCTCTTATATTTTGTGTTCAAAAAGCGATAAATCTTAACATAAATATTAAAGAGATATTAATTTTGTTAAATTTTTGGCATGTTACTTTGAAAACGATTGATTGCACAAATTTAGCCTTTTGCAATAAATTCATGCAACTGTGTGTGCAACAATGTACTTTAATTTTGTAACATCGCCCGATGTGACGATGGTCACTGTTTGTTAGATAGGAGTCTTAATAATGACGCCTTATCTTTCGACATAACTAAAGCGAATATAAATTTGATATAATAAAAAAAACATACATGATTAAGCACCAGTACTCACCACCTTCTTCCTTATTGTAATGTATAATGCAATCGACAAAATGATGGTATATAGTGTCTGTTGTCATGCAGCAGGTAACGTAATATTCGGCCGGTTCCCGAACGTCGTGATCTTCGTCCGCTAATAAGGCACAGTATCTGCCGAAAGAAAAGTGAAAATAAAAATCAGGAATAAAAATTAAATTATTCTGTTTGGTCAATTAGAAATAGGTTGAAAATCAGTCCATAGTATAAAACAAAGTCGCTTTCTCTGTCCCTATATCTACAGGTATGCTTAAAATCTTTAAAATTACGCAACAGATTTTAATGCGGATAAATTCAAAAGGAAGGTTTTTATGTATAATACAAGACCACGCGTGCAAAGCCGCCGGCGGAAAGCTAGTGTAGAGTAAAATAAATAAAAAGGTCTCGTTTTGGAGTATCAAACTTTTTAATGGCCCCGATTGGCTTGGTCATTGAACTAGTTTAACTGTATGCCTTTTTAAATAAACTTTTTGTGGTTCATTAATATTTATAAAAATAAAAACTATAATCAAGGTACGATACGGGTATACGGTATAAGAACAGCCCTGCGATTCTGTAAAAATCGACACGCGAATTCGAAATCACTTTGGTGTCCGTGTTACTTCAAAAAGAGGCATCCGCTCAACCTTGAATAGGTAATAATGTTTCGTTGCATAAGTGAAGTGAGTTTCGAAATGCATACGAATAGAATATCTAAGACACGTATATTC